AAAAACGCTAAGGTTATGTACTGTACGATTTTTAAAGATTTTGTCTAAGAAAAAGAGTTAAGAAGACAGAAGTTAAGCATTGACATTGCATTCAATAATAGAATAGAAAAATAGAATTTAATAATAGAATTAAATTAATGAAATGAAATAATAATAATACAAAATAATAATAAGATTTTAATAGAATAATTTAATGATAGAAAAGGAGTTAGGACAATAAAAGAACGGGTTTTAAGAAGACAGAAGTTAACTATTGACATTGTATTTAAGTTTTTGAAGATCAATGTTGACTGAAATGCAAGACGCCGGAAGACAGTACCTCAATCGAGAAGTATGACAGAAAAAACTGTTATCATAGAACATACGGTTACATCGAGTCTTCCACCAGTAAAATGGAGAAACACTTTGACCAATATTGGGCAATACAAGTACTGCGCTTAAATTCATAAAATCCAAAGAGGAAAGGTCATCAGAACGAATATAATGAAAGTATTTACAGAAAATGCGCAGGGAAGCTACGTTTGGGAGGTGGGAAAGTGACTGAAGCCGAAATGCCAGGTCAAGACGGATATCATTGCAAATTTTTCTTCGGATTTTATTAAGAATCTCGAAATACATGGACCAGATGTGACAATAATATTCAATGACTAGACGAATGTTAAACTTATAAATAAGAAACTCGATAAGGCTATCTTCATAGTGGTTAAGGAGCTCACTCCATATACTGTCTCTTCTGGTGGTAGAAATATTTCTTTCTGGATTCCCAAAACCAGAAGCCAAGGTTCTCGTTCTTAACGCTATTAATGTTAGGCTAATTTTCCTAACCTTAGTTTTGCTTTTTATTCGTGTCCCAAAACCTTTAATACTGTAGACGTGAAAACTAATGAAAATTATATTATTAACGGTTTGCAAGTGTGAGAAGAGAACTTTATGAAGTACTCCGGAAAATAAGTTAGCATTGACACAGGGTTGAATGATGTCAGTGCACATAATCTAGTCACGTCATTTAAGTATACGTTAGAATTATTAACACTGTCAAAAATTAATGCAGGTTTTATGTTTGTATTTGTTTCACTGTTTTTAAGATTAAAAAAACTCATAGAAGCTATATAAAATTTTGAATCAATTTAAAATTTATTTTCTATTCTATCCATTTTAATATAAATTTCATTTTTGATAGTTTCCAAATCATTAATTTACGATGTCAAAAGAGAGTTGAACTTAGCGCAATCTTATTTAAGGTTTTAAGAGAAAGTTCATAATTATGACATTGTATACATTACTAGAAAAAAAAAACTATCTTGATTTCCAAAACCAGCAGACAATGTTCTCGTTCAGATATTGCTTGAATTATTTACGTAGTCACGGACTTCTCGATACTGTTTTCTAGATTCTTTTAGGTTTGCATTGTATTGAGCTAAGCTTATTAAAATCGACGATACACGGTAAGTTTCAATAAAACTGTAGTATTTTTTTCTCTGTAGATTTCAGTGTATTACAAGCGTATCAAATTAACTTATACCGTATTATCCTTCCGTTCCTGAAGTAAACACACGAAACATTCTTATACGAATTTGATTACTTTGCCCGAACACTGCATCATTGCACGAGTGTCTTACAAAAGAAATAGTAATAATTGAATTACAACTGTTTTTCACTTGTAATTGAACCTAGCGCAATGTTATTTAAGGGTTGAAGAGAAAGTTCATAATCATGGCAATGCATACATTACTAGAAAAAAAAAACTATCGGTTCTTAACGCTATTAATGTTACACTAATTTTCCTAACCGTAGTTTTGTTTTTTATTCGAGGCCCAAAACTTTTAAGACCCTATACGTGAAAACTAATGAAACTTATATTATTAACGGTTTGCAAATGTAAGAAGAGAAGTGTATGAAGTACTCCGGGAAATAAGTTAGCATTGACGCATGGTTGAATGATGTCAGTGCACATAATCTAGTCACGTCATTTAAGTATACGTTAGAATTATTAACACTGTCAGAAATTAATGCAGGTTTTATGTTTGTATTTGTTTCACTGTTTTTAAGATTAAAAAAAAAACTCATAGAAGCTATATAAAATTTTAAATCAATTTAAAATTTATTTTCTATTCTATCCATTTTTTTTTTACCTATTCTATTGTAATAGACTCTCCCCCACATAATAAGTAGTAGTAGTAGTAGCGGTCGCCAGTTGGGCTCAGTGGAGTTGAGTGAGTCAGTCGATGTCGGACATTGAAGTATCAACCACCACAACTAGATTGCTACGTCATTAACTCTTATTTCAAGTTCCTAACGTTTTGTACGTCGGAGTCTTTTAGGACCGACTTAGCGAAATACAAGCCTCGACTGTGAAAACTACTATTACGATGTCAAAAGAGAATTTCCGACAAATGTAAACCCGGTTGCAAAGCAACACAAACGGCGAGAAACATCAATGACGTTTGAGACAGAGAAAGTGTTAACGAATGAATTTTGCAATGTTAATTTTAAAAATTCCGTTGCGATGAATTCACTATTGACGTGAAGGAAGGTGGCAGGTGTCCTGCCGCCATTAGCGACAATGAATTAAATGCGTTCGTGGAATAAATTTATTAAGAGTTTGCAGCAGAGCTAGATATAAGCATTACATTATGAAGAATTGAACCGAATTGGAACGTCGAAGAAGAATTGGATGAAAACCAAAGAAAATCGCCGTTATGAATCTGGCCTTCATTTTTTTTTTATGCGAAACAAAATTGTCGCATTTTTTTATGCTTGTGACATGCGATGAAAAGTGCATCCTATACAACAAGCGACGACGTTCAGAACCGTGGTAGTATCGAGATAGATTTTTTAAACACTTTCCTAAACCTAAGTTACATCAAAGAGTAGATTGTGGTGATTATTTGGTAGTTTGAAATCGGATTTATGTATTTCTGTTTTCTGAAACAAAGCGAAGTTATCACAGCAGAAATCGAGAAAAGGCATCTCGAATTGAAGCGTCTGTCTTTTTTTTTATTATTAGAAAAGTTCAATAGAAAAGTTCTAGTCTTCTTTTAGGAAAATGTTCGACCAAATGTCCTGCAAACAACGAGAAGATAGAATTGGGCTACGAATCTCTGCTTCGTGTAGAATATTCACCAGACTTTTGCGCCGATCGACTGCAAAGATTTTAAGCATTTTGACATCATCTTGCAAGGGAAGATTTTCAACAACCAAACAACTGCAAAAATGCCTTCGAAGACTTCGTCACTTCAAGAATATTAAAATTCTAGGGTGCCTGAATAATTAAATTGGGCAGAAATATGTAGATTCTTATGGGTTTTGCACCAAATCAACCACCAAGCACCGGTTCACATTTCTCCATGATTTTTTGAACAGGAGTAGTGGTGGATCCCTTATTTCTTATTTAGTATTGGATTACAGGTTCCTTCTAAAGTCTTCTCATTCTCTTTCACTCCCAGTGGTCCCTTGCGTCTTAGTGGCATCACACATTGCTTCGCATAAAATGACCAAAAGAAATATGTATATGCTTGTGTATATATATATATATAGCGTCAACCACAGACAGACTGTTTCGCAGCTCATCAGTGTGGCTAGACATCCGGTTGCCTCTAGCTAGGAACGAAACCCGACTGAATTGGTGTCAGTCAGAGATTCTAACCATTAAGCCGTCGGCGCACGGTAGGGGTGAAAGTGGATTTTTAGCGTATTTATTTTTAGAAACACGCCCAGTGACCGACAGTGACTCAATTCGCATCTGTGAAGAGTCTCGCTATATAGCTATAATAGTCACTGTTTACCAACCCACACCTCGTCCCCAGAGACCTCAACTGAAATATATATATATATATATATATATACACATTATCGTGTCTTCATCTTGATAATTGTTTTATACTCAACAAATACGAGGCTTTTCTTTTTCTACTAGTGAAAAGCGAAAAATAGTGGATCCTATACAACAAGCGACGACGTTCAGCATCGTGGCTGGATTGAGATTGCTAATCACATCTCAAAACGCGCCAAAGAGGAGGTTATGGTGATTGTTTGATCATTTGATACCGGATTTATCCAACGCAGCTTTCTAAAACCAAGAGAAGAAATCCCTGCAACAATTGATGAAACACATCACGAGATGAAGCGTATATGTCTAACATTGGTCTACAGAAAAGTTTTGATCTTTTTTTACGACAAACTTTGACCGCTCATCGCAGAAACAAAGCAGTAGAATTGGGATACGAATCTCTGCATGTGTCACCAGACTTTTGCATCAACCAAGTAGCACTTTTTCAATGGTAAGACATTAGTGCAATGATCCAACATCTTACCATTATTTGGCATATTTTCATTATGACATGCCTCATTGAATAATTTAAACAAGCTTTGTCAATTTTTTTCAATAGGAAAGGATCCAATTGGAAATAAGTAGACATATTTCATTGAATAATTATTCAATGAAATATGTCTCAATGAAAATAAGCTTCCAAAATATACGCAATAAAAAACAAAAATTAATAAAAACAAATGAGGAAATCATAAAATAAAGGAAAATAAGAAGGAAGAAAAAAAAAAGAAAGACAGAACGTATGAAAAACAAAGAAATATAAAGATATTTTTGTAGTTACAAAATTTAATGATCGAAATAAAAGTATAAAACTTAATATTAGGTGACATATTTTATTGTACATTTTTCTGTGTTAATTTTAAATTAAATCTCCCGTTGAAGCCTGAAGAGCGGGGGCGAAACCGGTTGCTTCGCCCGTTTTTAATATGCCTCGTAATATTAAGTTTTATACTTTTATTTCGATCATATATATATATATATATATATATATATATATATATATATATATATATATATATATATATATATATATGGATGATTTGACGATAATTCAAGATGATAGGAAAGTAGCACAGTTGGTTCTGGATAGACTTGCAGAATTGGTAGAATGGAGTCAAATGTCCTTTAAACCAAAGAAGAGCAGGTCACTTGTCGATGAAGGGAGGTTCTGTCATACATGAAGTGTTTTCCATCTCAGGTGAAAAGATACCAACAGTGCGGGGGAAAGGTGTGAAGAGTCTTGGGTGGTGGTATAACTTCCTTGTAACAGATCGTCACCGTGAGATTGAAATCCAGCAAACAAGCGGAGGTGGGCCTGCGAATAAAAGACCAATGTGGGCTTCCCGGAAAATTTAAGGTGTGGTGTATGCATTTTGGATTTATGTCTAGATTAATGTGGCCGCTGGCTATATATGAGCTGGCACTGTCTAGAGCTGAGATAATTGAGAGGAAAATTATTAAATGCATACGGAAGTGGCTTGGTGTCGTCGGTCCCTTTGTATGGCAGCTCGGGGAGGGGGTCCTTCAGTTACCTCTTACTTCTTCGGTGGAGGAGTACAAGGTGGCAAAGGTGAGATTGCAGTCCATGCTATGTGAGTCTAGGGATGCTGTAATCCGGGAGAACGTACTAGATTTGAAGACAGGAAGAAAGTGGAAAGTCGCAGACGTGGTGTCAGCAGTGGAAGTGATGTGAAAGCAGGTAGAAGTCCAAGGTGTTACAAAGAAGGGACGTGCTGGACTTGATCTAGTTGAGAGAGAGAGATTCTGGTCAGAGGCCAGTAGACAGGAGCAACGCAAATTACAAGAACAGGGGGTTCGAAAGCTCGAAGAGGAGAGACGTTTAGGCTCAGCAGGGTCGATGGCTTAACTGGGAGGGTATTGAGGGTGTTCAGATCAGTTGGTCTGATTGGTGGCGTCTCGGCGCAGGGTATTTGAGGTTCCTCATACAGGCAGCATATGATGTGGCAGCATCACTGGCAAATTTGAAGAGATGGGGAGTGCAGGAGTCCCCCTCCTGTCGGTTGAGTGGTGCTTATGTAAACCTGCGCCATATACTGTCAGCCTGTACGAAGGCGCTACAGAATGGCTGGTACACCTTCAGACATAACCTGTTCTGGAGGTCGTGACAGCAGCTGCAAGAAATGCTAGCATACCCTGAAGATTGCAGTTGGTCTGGAGCACTTGATGTGTACTTGTGTCCTCTATATATATATTCCCTGACGATCCGCTTAGGTGAAACCTGGGTAGGTATGTCTGGCTCACTGGGTGTATCTAGGTCTGCTCTACGGTTGTATTGAGCTCTTTTGTTAGTTGGTTACTCGTATCGGGGTTTTTTCTTTGGGCTTCAAACCTGTATCTGTGCGATTTTTTCGACAGACTTTCATGTTTCTAGCTGTTTCTTTTTTTAAAACCTTTTTTTTCCCTCGAGATTGATTTGGTTATTCGCAAATCAAAAATTCGAGGGGTTTTCGAAACGAGTATAGTTACATATATATATATATATATGAAGCTCTTCAGTAAAATGGATGGAGCACTTTGGCTGCTAGGCGTTTTTTTACGTTTGTAAAAACAATACGCTAGATTTGGCTGACTCATTCTGTCGAGTGAAGATGACTCAGTGATAGAAGCTCTGACTGACACCAAATCGGTTGGGTTTCGATCCGGGCTTGAGGCATTCAGTTGCCTAGTTGCATTGAGGAACTGCAGTGTAGGAACTATATATATATATATATATATATATATATATATATATATATATATATATATATATATATATATATATATATATATATCACAATCCGGTAAGCATTTGAGTATTTAAAACACGAGCAGCTCTAAAAAAGAGTTTGCCCCAAAACTGCTTACTGGCAGAAAAATGCTCAATGCCACAAAAATGGTAGCATCAATATATATATATATTGATAGATAAATGGTAGCCTCAATATATATATATACAGAGAGAGAGAGAGAAAATAACTATTATTTTATTAGTAGTTTTTCTTCAATTCTTGTGTGATTTTTTTTCAAAGTGCACTGGGTTGACACCCTTCGACCACTAAATAGGTCAATATCGAAAATAAAGTAATTTTTGGTGAGTTTTGAATCCGGACCTCGATGTTATTATATTAAGAATGTTATTAAGATGTTATATTAAGAAAGTAATTAAGATGTTATTATATTAAGAATGTTATTAAGATGTTATTATATTAAGAATGTTATTAAGATGTCATATTAAGAATGTTATTAAGATGTTATTATATTAAGAATGTTATTAAGATGTTATATTAAGAATGTTATTAAGATGTCATATTAAGAATGTTATTAAGATGTTATTATATTAAGAATTTATTATCATATTAAGAATGTTATTATTGTTATATTAAGAATGTTATTAAGATGTCATATTAAGAATGTTATTAAGATGTTATTATATTAAGAATGATGTCATATTAAGATGTTTAAGATGTTATTATATTAAGAATGTTATTAAGATGTCATATTAAGAATGTTATTAAGATGTTATATTAAGAATGTTTAAGATGTCATATTAAGAATGTTATTAAGATGTTATTATATTAAGAATGTTATTAAGATGTCATGTAAGAATGTTATTAAGATGTTATTATATTAAGAATGTTATTAAGATGTCACATTAAGAATGTTATGTTATATTAAGAATGTTATTAAGATGTTATATTAAGAATGTTATTAAGATGTCATATTAAGAATGTTATTAAGATGTTATTATATTAAGAATGTTATTAAGATGTCATATTAAGAATGTTATTAAGATGTTATATTAAGAATGTTATTAAGATGTTATATTAAGAATGTTATTAAGATGTCATATTAAGAATGTTATTAAGATGTTATATTAAGAATGTTATTAAGATGTTATATTAAGAATGTTATTAAGATGTCATATTGTTAAGAATGTTATTATTAAGAATGTTATTAAGATGTTATATTAAGAATGTTATTAAGATGTCATATTAAGAATGTTATTAAGATGTCATATTAAGAATGTTATTAAGATGTCATATTAAGAATGTTATTAAGATGTTATATTAAGAATGTTATTAAGATGTCATATTAAGAATGTTATTAAGATGTTATTATATTAAGAATGTTATTAAGATGTTATATTAAGAATGTTATTAAGATGTTATATTAAGAATGTTATTAAGATGTTATATTAAGAATGTTATTAAGATGTTATTATATTAAGAATGTTTTATATTAAGAATGTTATTCATTGTTATATTAAGAATGTTATTAAGATGTTATATTAAGAATGTTATTAAGATGTTATTATATTAAGAATTCTTCACAGTCATTGGTTCGTTTTCAACGGCTTATCAAACCTTTACAATTTATTTAAAGTCAGAAAATATTTCTATATTGTAAGATTTTTTGGAAGGTGAGATAATAGTCATTTAGATATCTTACTAATTAATCCATACCCGGGGGATATAGGTGGATTCATACCTTTTCTAAAGCTATTTGCGCGTAAGTGAAAACTAACCCGAATAAAAATGAAATTCGACTCTCCGATTAAAAATCCTGGGCCATCATCCATTACACCAGCCACACACCCTAGCTTTCAGCCCTTGGTATTCCTTAGCGGTCACCCATCTGGGTACTGACCATGCTCGATGTTGCTTTCTAGAACAGGTAGGCTTCAGACATCGAACGTCTTACACTAGTCACCTGATGATGATGATGATGATGATGATGGCAATATACTCAAATTATTGTTCTATGGAGAAAGTACATTCGGTTAAGTTTGTTTATTTTTTATCTAATTTCCACTTTTACCTTTTTCGATTAGCTTTCAGTCGTTCGAAATTGCAAAATGTTAAGAAGCGTCTTCGTTTCGCTAAATACAAATTTATAGTCATTGTCGGTAGCAAAATGGCCTCTTCGATATTCGAATTTATATTAAGTAAACTTTTTCGTACAGATGCCCTGCGCTAGCGTTTGGCATTGTACTTTTAGTTTATTTCTCTAAGGACATCAAATCTGCTTTTTGATGGACATGTTCATTTATTTTATTTCTGAGATATACAATTTTTATTCCAAAACAATTCTCAAAATCGGTTTGTTGGCGCCATTTTTCTCATGAGATGGCAATGGCGATTTCGCTAAGAGGTAAATAATTCATCTTTAAAAATTGAAAACATTTCATTCTATTTTATCTGCAGAAAAAACATTGAGTTGACTATGTAATTTACGGAGTTGGGCGCTTCGGCGTAATGGAATAGTTAGAAAGCTGATCTTGCTAGAAGTATTACGACTGAGTAATGAGTTCGATCCTCACTGAGCGCACCACACTTGCAGCATTTGTCACATCCAAGCTGCACATCCAAATTGCTACAGTTTACTGAACTGATCACTTCGACGTGTTGTAATGATTAGAAGCTTCCCTCGATTGAGTTTGATCCTCACTAGGTGCCCCAGACTTTCAGCCCTGTGCCAAATCTAAGATACGCCGAGAAAATTACTACAATTAAGCAGAAACTAAAAATATAGAAAGATTATTATTGTTGTCCAACATTTTTATTGCTTCAAACATTATTATGGTGGGTACTTACTATTTGAAATAGACGGCCATTTTTTTTTCTTTACACATTGCTTAATAAATACAAAGAAACGTACTGTTTAATAAATATAAAGTGGGCGTCTATTCCAAATAAGAAGTATAATAACTTTTATAATAACTTTTATAGATAGATAGATAGATAGATAGATAGATAGATAGATAGATAAAGAGAGAGAGAGAGAGAGATAAGCGGGAGTGATAACTGAATTAATCTTGCCAAATGGCAAAGCAGCAGATTTTTAAAATACCATCTTGCTCATGCCCCCCGATTTTGAGCACCCCTTCTAAATAGATAGATAGATAGATAGATAGATAGATAATAGATAGATAAGATGCGGAAATAGATAGATAGATAGATAGATAGATAGATAGATAGATAGATAGATATCAAACGACTAGGATAGATAGATAGATAGATAGATAGATAGATAGATAGATAGATAGATAGATATCAAACGACTGGGATAGATGGATAGGTATCAAACGACTGGGATAGATAGATAGATAGATAGATAGATAGATAGATAGATAGATAGATGGATAGATATCAATAGACTGGGATGGACAGATATCAAATGACTGGGATAGATAGATAGATATTAAACGACTGGGATAGATAGATAGATAGATAGATAGATAGATAGATAGATAGATAGATAGATAGATATGAACAGACTGGGATAGATAGATAGATAGATAGATAGATATGAACAGACTGGGATAGATAGATAGATAGATAGATAGATAGATAGATAGATAGATAGATAGATAGATAGATAGTAGTGGGGAAGTAACAAGTTCGTGGTTTGGTTAACTTCCCAAAATGAAACCTGGCGATCAAATAGAATGTTTAATAATCGCTTTGGTCCGTATCCGGCACTTTGAGTTCCCTTCGTAGATATCGGTCGGAAGATCGTACTGAAGTATGAAAATGTCAGTGACCAAGCAGAGGCGATTTTGATTCTTAAAGACACGCTCTCAATATATATATATATATATATATATATATATATATATATATATATATAGAGAGAGGTGGCAGAAAGAGAAAGTACTGTGGTGAAACTTATCACTTGAGTGGTGTTGGTTCAGTCAAATATATATGGAGTCAAAAAGAAAATAATATCACTACTAAAATTAAATAGGAAATTATAAAAAGAGCCCCCCCCCCTCTAGCAGAAATTGCAGATTATACCTTCAAAAACCAAAGCAAATCATGAAACAAGAAAAAAAAACAATAGATAGGGAAATGTAAACAGGCAAATAAATACATACAGTTTTATTCAAATACCAAGAGAGAGACCTACAGTATATATTCGATCACACTCAAACTGAAGCCAGATGAAAAAAACGCCACACACACAAACACAAACATTTAAACACACACACACACACACGCACACAAACATCTAAACATACACATACACACAAGCCTAACCACGATCTATTAAAAAGAACAAGCGGCCAACTACATCAACACGAAAAAAGAATTTAAGTCAATATAATAAAAGATCCAATCATATAAAAAGCAATTAAGGAAATACAGCTAAAAAGAGGTCAGCACAATACAAAGCAAACAATCACCGAGAAACACCATGCTACTCAAGTCATCAAGTGAAAAACCACACACCCATACAAAGGTATCAATTTACATCGAACCATACATAAATACAACAAAATTGAGAAATAGCAGCAGAGAAGAAAACAGGTGACGTCTGTCGAACTCTCTGCTTTGGCAGAGAGGAACCCGGACGAGGCTTTGCCGAAGGACAAGGTTTCGTCAGGGGAGGTAGACAGGCCCTGAACAGCTCTAGGCCGGTTCAAAGGGTATATTTTTGGCCGAGCCTACGGGCTCGGAGAAACCCACTTTAAACTGGGCCCTGTGCCACATATATTCCTCGTGGGTGGGATATTAAATACTGAGAAGAAAACAGAGTTAGGATGAGGTCTTAGCCGCTTGCTATATTCTTAGTGCTTTTCGAACTCTCTGCCTTTAAGAACCCAGACTAGGCTATGCCGAAGAGAAAAATCTCGTCTGGGGGGTAGACTACGGGCTCGGATAGACCCACATAAAAAACCGGCGTTGTGCCACATTCCGCCGTGTGGGTAGGCTTCGGGTAAATACCGAGAAGACAATAGTCCTGAAGAGTGAAAGCATTATTGCAATACGCTTACGACACTTTGGAGCCTTTTTTAAGGGCATGACTAAGTCAAGACAACTCAGTTAAGTGATAGGTTTTTCCACATTAATTCGATTAACGTTCTATCTTTACTTTTTGATATCGAGCACTCTATGAACAAAAACGGCCTGCCTAAAATTCTCTCACACCATTAAACTACGGAGAAAGAACCAGCAAATTTGATACCAAAAAACTCTTACAATACCATATATATATATGTGTGTGTGGGCACCTCGGTGTGGTGTAATGGTTAGCAAGCTTTTCTCGCTAGATCAGTTACAACTGAAAAGTGAGTTCTATTCTCACTAGATGGCCCATACTTTCGGCCTTGTGCCACATCTAAGCTACACTTGGAAAATAACTATATATATGTGTGTGTGTGCGTCTGTGCACGCGCGTAAAAGCTTTAAAGAGAAAATAACTTGTTTAGACGGAAGTTTCTAGAGAGTGCTGCTATTGAGTCTCGCCAAAATGTAACACTGCATCCAGTATTTTTTCAAATATTTCCTTTCCTAAAAGAAATACACTTTTTCCAACCCAACATAAATGACAATATTTTTTTTTATAAATTAAAATAATAACTTTTTTGTAACTTAAAATAAATCTCTTGAATCAAAACAATCGATTATTTAAAAACGATGTCAAATTAAAATTATAAGTACATTAATATAAAATTAAATAAAATGAAAAATTCAGCCACAACAATAACAACTTTTACGCTCTCCCCCTTATTAGGCTTAAAAATGTTAAAAACCTAACGATATATTTTAGCTTGTGGTTATAAATACATGTTGCAAAATAAACTCTTTTTCATATAAATCTTTTTTTTAAAATATAAATATATATAAATACATATAATTTACATACAAAGAAATAATCACACATAGAATCAATCAGAAGTATTAATGCGATTATTGGCGACATCCATCGCTAGAAAACATAATATATGCATTAAAATCCTGTTCATCCATAGTGCGAGTTGATCCTCGTTGATAAACTTGTTGTCTGTAGTTTTCAGTTTATTTGATGTTAATACTTCTGATTGATTCTATGTGTGATTATTTCTTTGTATGTAAATTATATGCTGCCTAATGTTTTATGTTTATAAAAAACTATCGATCCGCAGTACATAAAAAATTCCTATAAAAAAACTACTACTAAGACATTACACTATATTATTGAACTATATACTTAGTTCATGACATAAAAACTGAATACACTTGTAAAAATAGAATACGTGGATTTAACACATCACAAGAAATATTTAAATAAAATTCTCACTTAAAATTTTGAAAAACTTAGCGTTGCGTCTTTGCACGTTCCGAGATCTTACACAACCGTCAATAATAGCAGATATTCAAAAAACATGTTTCGGTCGACATACAGGTATATCGTCTTCAAGTTTTTGATTTTATAAGGAAAAAAACACATGCCTGATGATGAATAGAGGACTATTCGTAAGTACTAGCATTTTAACATCAAATAAACTGAAAACTACAGACAACAAGTTTATCAACGAGGATCAACTCGCACTATGGATGAACAGTATTTTAATGCATATATTATGTTTTCTAGCGATGGATGTCGCCAATAATCGCATTAATACTTCTGATTGATTCTATGTGTGATTATTTCTTTGTATGTAAATTATATGCTGCCTAATGTTTTATGTTTATATATAAATACATATAAATATACATGTAAATCCTTTTAAAAAAATATTTACCTTCATAGACTCTTTGGTAAATAAAAGAAAAAGCTTCCATTATATCATCGAAAAGAACCCTTTCCGCTTGCCACTAGCATCGCTGAGGCCTAAATCCAGGTGATCAACACACTATGCCTTCTTCGCCTCACTGACATAGAATGGAGTGAACCCTATCGTA